ACATCAAAAAGTAATGATGTATTGTATGGTGACTAACATAACATAATAAAATTTAAAAAAATAAAATAAAATAAAATTTACATCTTTCAGGTGATTGTAAAAAGCTAAAACTTACAACAGAATTTCTAAGTTTTTCAGGCAGTGGATCTTTTACTTCAGACAGAGGGTCTTCCGGATTTTTCTCTTCTGTTTTTGGAAAAATCTTGGATTGCACCAAAGAGCTTTAAATTAAAAAAAGAAAAAGAAAGAAAAATAATTAATAAAGAACACATTCATAACCTGAAAACCAGTACTTCAAATGACAAATGAAGTTTATGATAAAAAATCAAGTATTCAGGAGTGACTGGGTGGTGCAGTCGGTTAAGTGTTCAACTCTAGGTTTCTGCTCAGGTCCTGACCTCAGGGTCCTGAGATCAAATTCCACATTGGGTTCCCACACTCAGCGAGGAGTCTGCTTGAGATTCTCTCTCCCTCTACCCCTCCCAATCATGCACGCACGCTCATTCGCTTGCTCTCTAAAATAAATCTTTAAAAAAAAAAGATAAGCATTCCAAGTATATTTAATCATTAGCAAATGATAATGTTTAAAGAGTTTACAATGCTATAAATAAGCATACAAGGAGAATATTTTTATTAAAATATATTTTTAATACTTTTTAGGAGAGAAAATGCTAACAAATATTCCCAGCCCAACTGGTTAGAATGATCCAATGTTAATATATTTGAAACCTAATACAGATTAAGTCAACAGCACTCTGACAAGGCAGTGGGAAAACAGATATTGAAAGTTAAATTTGAAAGAAATGTGAACTTATTTAAATTTAATTCAGTAACAATTGATTTCACTTACAAAAGTACAGATGGATCACTGCTTTGTCGGCTGAGATGATAGGATATTGCCACTAATAAACCACAAAAAATGGAGAAAAGTACTGGAATATGCTGGCCATCCCAAGAATCCTGTTGGGAAAAAAGTTTCATAGAACAATATGCATCTAATTTATCATCTATCACATAATTCTTTTATGTCAGTATTTTGGAGTAAGATAATTAAATTTACCAAAAACTTTTTAGCCATATTATTAATTGTATTTTATTCCAGATAAATTTAAATTTAGTACTTTCTGATCATCTTCAGATTTCTTTTGGTACTAAGCTCTATTTATACGCTAAGGATAGTACATTTGCTTCTGATACATGCTGCTGTCAATTTCTTTCATATTTCAAGTGGTATTAAGCTTATGGTAAACTACATTCTCCCTTTAGAAAAATGAAATAACTTGGTGCAGCACATGTCTGATTATATATAATAATGGAGTAGGGAAAAGGCAACACGTGGTACAACACATTAGATAAAACAGAAGAGACACTGCTGTGCTTTTATCCTGATACTTTTGCTCATAATATGCCATTATTTCATTATCTTCCAGAAAATTCAGTAGGCATTCAGTGCTCTTGAATAATAAACTGCATATTCCCCAAAATAAATAATGCAAAGGCTAGCTTCTAAAGTCAACCAAACATGTGGATGTGGATATGTCATGTCATGTCTGCTCACTGCAATATTTCTGGAGTCTAATAGCATGGTACTTGGTAAAGAGTAGATAATACTGATAAAAGAATAGTTAATAGTTCTTATGTATGGCCACTGAGTAAACAGCATTCTATTCCTTCTTCTTTCTCTGGGATTCAAGAAGGGGGATCCAAATAGTAGCTTATTATACAACTTGGGGTTTTTTTTTAAATAATAAAGTCTTGAAAATTGTTACACATCACAACATACAGACCTTTTTGTGATGGCTACATCAAAATATCATTATCGTCATATTGAACATTATGTGTCAAGCCCCATTCTTAGATCTTTGCTTAGTATTTCCTAAACAATTCTTATGATCATCCTTGGAGATATATACTATTGCTCCCCAGTTTATAGATGAGAAAACTCAGGTGCAAAGGGTTCAAGTAATTTGTTCAGTTAAGTGGTGGAGCCAGGAACTGAAGCTCCCGATGTCTGGATTTACTGAGAAGGAAGTTAAACAATACAGGAATTTGAGAATGACAGAGAGATAAATACATAAACAAAGTAAAAGAGAAAACAAAATGTATGTTGGAATAGCATTTGCACAGTGATGATAAAGGGAAACATATCAGGTATATGAGAGAGACAAGGAAGGCCACATGTGGTTGAGATGTGCAGTGAGAGGTGAAAGAAAGTTAAGCCTACAACTTCCATAAAGCACAGTCCATGGATAATGCATAAAACTTGACAAAATATAAGAAGTGTAAGTTAGTTTCTTAGACACTGAGAGGCAAATACCAAAAGAATCAAGTCAAAGAGGGCACGTACTGAATGGAGCACTGGGTGTTATATGCAAACAATGAATCATGGAATCCTACATCAAAAACTAATGATGTAATGTATGGTGATTAACATAACATAATAAAATTTTTTTTAAAAACTCTAAAAAAAAAAAAGAATCAACTCAAAGAATTGAAAGTGGTGGGCGCCTGGGTAGCTCAGTTGGTTGAGCGACTGCCTTCGGCTCAGGTCATGGTCCCGGGGTCCTGGGATCGAGTCCCGCATCGGGCTCCCTGCTCTGCGGGGAGCCT